GGGGGGACCCGCCTGTGTCATGAGTCTGCTGACAAAGTCTGAATCAGAACACGTGTGTGTGTGTGTTTGTGTGTGTGTTTTTGTGTGCGTGTTCGTGTTGCGTGGCAGAGACGGCTGTGGTGCACGGTGACGTCGCCATGCCGACCACTCTTGGCAGGAACGCGGACCCGTGCACGGCCAGAGGCTGCAGGTGGCCCAAGACCGGACGCTACGTCTACGTGCCCTACTACATCTCCCCGGACTACAGTGAGCCCCCGACCTGACCTTTGACCTGCTCCCGACCCGGGTTCAGACCCTCTAACGGTCCGGTCCGGTCCCCTTTAGCCCAACAGGAGCGGGGGGTCATCCTGGCAGGCCTGCAGAGCTTCCACCAGTCCACCTGCGTCCGCTTTGTCCCCTGGACTCAGACTCACCGGGACTACCTCCACTTCCTCTCCAGCCCCGGTGAAGGGTAGGCACTCACAAACAAACCAGAAATGCCTCTTTTCTTCCGAGCAAAATGAATTAAAGTACATATTTGACCCCTACCCGTCAACGACTTCCTCGTTGTTCCAAATACTTCCTCTTTAACTTCAGCCTCATCAGGAAATGCTCCAAATGCTCAAATAATGGGCTTCATGTGTGCAAAAGACTTATTTGATGTTTTACTCAAATTCAAGAGAAAAGAGAAGGATGTTGGGTTTCCAAAGTCTGAGTCAGACCATTTTTCTCTCATTATGTTGCTCTCGTGTACACTAAGATTATCAAGTATAGAGTCAGAGAGTACCTGTTAGTCCTGTATTTCTCAGTTTCTGACTTAGAGAAAATCATATTTCCCAAAAATGGATGCATCTTTCACTCTCCAAATCAGAAAGAGCCATTAAAAAGCCATTTAAAAAGCCACTAAAACCACAAAAACCACTCAGAAAACCTGTTCCCCTGAATTTAATTCACCATAAAGGAAGTGGCCAGAGCCCCTGAAATTATTTAGATTTTCTCCTATGTGGCTTTACACATAGCCAAACTTTTTCACCCTTCAACTTAACAGTTTAAATTCAGCTTTAGATTGTTGATAAGTTCAGCTAAACGGACCTTAAACGCACCATTCGTAATTTACCTTATGTAAATGGTTATAGATGTGAGTTGAACAAATGGTCACAAATGATGTTAGGAATGCATTTATGAATAAAATGACGGTAGGAGAAGTGGCATTTTGGACCCTTTCAGGCCTTGAAGGGAACCCTGGTCCTGGTCTAACTCAGACTGAGCTCAGCCCTCTTCTCCTCTCAGGTGTAAGTCCTTCATAGGCCGTCAGGACGGAGGCCAGGGGGTTTTCCTGGAGAAAAAGGGCTGCCTGTACCAGTCCACGGTGCAGCACGAGGTCCTGCACGCGCTGGGCTTCCACCACGAGCAGGTCCGCTCAGACCGGGACCAGTACGTCCGGATCCTGTCCCAGAACGTCCAGCCAGGTCAGAACATCACGTCTGGACCCCTGGGTCAAGATGTTTAAACAGAGGCTTGTGACATCACCTATGTCAATAATGTGCAATATTCTTCTCTCACTGAGCAATAACACATAACAATACTATGTAGTCTGTGTCATTTTCTACTTATTTATAAGGTCAGAACATCTCTTTACTAATAATCACAGTCAACTACTTAGTATTCTTTCTTTTTCGCTCTTTACTGTGCAGATATGTTATATCTAAAGGAAACAGATTCCAGGACAATACAACTTTTCTTATGCTCTTCTGCACCATATACACTCTTTTTATATTGTCTGTTGTATTTTTTATCCATGGCATCTAGCTTTAACTCTGACCTTTGACCTCTACATAAGCTACTGGAACCAGAGTTTCCCTGAAGGAGAAAATAAAGGGATAAATAAAGTTAAGTCTAAGTCTAAGTGACTGTTCTGACTTCTCTGCATTAACAGATCAGTTGAAAAATTTTCAAAAGGTGCCGACCAACAATCTGCTGACTCCCTATGACTTCAGCTCCGTCATGCATTACGGAAAGTAAGTTGGGTGTTTAATTAATACAAAACACAGACACACTGTTTCAACCTTCTGACACCAAGAAAACACAAATGAAAGATGGAGAAGTTTTGCTTCAGGATCAAATTCAGGGGGTGAAACATGGACATTTTGAGGAAGATTTCGGGAAATAGCTCTGAAATATGCAGCTCTGGATCAGATTAAATCAGCAAATTAAGTTTAAAAAGGATTAGAAACACCGTGAACAAAAGCTAAAGGTCAAGCTGGCAGTGACTTATTTGGTGAAGAAGGTAAAGCGTCTTTCCTTTGCCTTCAATCCGGTTTAATATAAAAAAATATAATACAATATTAAAGAATATGCTGGAAATGGAAGAAAATGACAAATTGATGACATTTTAATTCCTCTTCTTAGCTCACACCAACAATTCCGTGTCCTTATTTACTATTTGTTTCTTAATCCCAGACGGTCAGAATTGTGAAATAAGAAACTTTGACGGTGTGTTTCTGTGTTTTTTCTCATAAAAAAAACGAACCAGAGGACACAGATGGTCCTCTGATAGGGCCGACTCCCCCGTTTCTGCCCAGAAAAGCCCTGAAGCTGCAGAAATAATCTCCAAAATCGCTCTTCAATTGCTTTCATAAAAATGCTCCTGACCAACGGTGTATTTGTCGTTTTTCAGATATGACTTCTCCTCCAATGGGCTGCCAACCATTGTGGCAAAGCACAATTATTACCTGGACTTTGGCCACGCCCATCAGATGAGCCCCAACGACATCACGCGCGTCAACAGGCTCTACGGATGCAGTGAGTAGCCACTTTTTCTTCTTTTTTTATGCTGTTTTTGGAGATAAACAGCTTGTTTCTCAGTGCTGATTGACTTGAATTCGGCTTAT